TCACGAAACTCTGCCTTCGGTTCATTTGAATATCGCGTAGAAAGAGGGTGCGAAGATACTCGAATCTTTGGAACTTCGCTGGGATAATTCACAGAACTGAAAAAATAGGGAAAAATAGGAAAAGAAAAAGATTTATAGCTGATACGGAAATATTCGACGAGTCGTTTGATACTTTGGCAAAAATCGGTAAGAAACGGTGAAAAATTGGAGACCAGTTTCGATTTAATTGCGATTAAAATTAATTCCACTCGGAGAGGAGAGAGAATAAAATTCGATGAAGCAACGAAGCGTCTGTTCGCCTGCGTCTTCTCACGCTCGTGGCGTAGATCCTGAAACGGCTATGGCTGCGTGATTTGAGGCGACCTGTAGCGTGGTAGCGTGCGCCGAGCAGCGTCGGACGAGCCGCGTCGATCGGAGAGGCCGATTGCACCAATTTACATGTCTCAATCCCATGTTAGCCTCGCGAGGGGCGCGGAGGGGCCAGGGGGTGGAACGTACGGAACGTGTAGAGTCCAGAGGGTCGTGGGTCACGAGGACGTTCGTCTCGGGACGAGGGGATCGGCGAGAATCGTTCGCATATTCATTAAAGACCCAGGATCCTTCGACGAGCGTTGACCACAACCCCTTGAGAGACAGATAAGGCGATCGGTTCGTTCTCACTGAGGAAAAAGCCCGTCGAAAAATCACGCGAACGCTATGGGAATACTCCTGGCTGTCCTTCGACTCTGGAATAATTTGATAATTTAATACTAAACGTGCCGATATTTCACACGCACCTATTCTTACCATAGGGGGTCAAACGACCCTTCGTGATATATAAGGTACGCAAAGAAATTTTCTCGGTAAAATAGAAGTTAAGAGAAAAATGAAGAGCGAGAAATTAAACAATCGGATAATATGAGAATTTACAGGAAGTTAATGGATGTACGATTTATAAAGTAAATTTTGAAAGGGGTTATTTGACCCCGCTTGATACGTTTAGTGTTAATTTATAATTTCAAAAGAAATTATTGATCTTTAATTATTAATTCGTCCGTTGATTTTATTTTCATCAAGGAAGATGGTAAAAACGAGTAAGCCTGCTTTATGAAGAAACTCATTGATATATTTCATTTTGCAGTGTTTTTTGAGATGAATAGCAACGAGGGCTAAATTAATATCTCTTTATCGAATAATTCTTTTTCAAATGGCTATTGGTTTAAAATTGTCTCAAATTATTTCCAATTTTCGATGGTTGAAGTATTGTAAGACCTTCTATTATAAAATCGTCCACGTTTTGACTGTTAAATTATACCAGAATAACGAGAAATTGATCATTAAATCAGAAGTAATTAATTTCTTCTCCAGGATAGGACCAGGTGACTTTGTTACTAACGAAGTCCGCAAGAAAATGCGAGTAAGCCTGTTTTATGAAGAAACTCATTGACATTTTTAATTTTGGAGTGTCTGTCAATACAAAAGTATGATATGAAGAGCAGCGAAGTTTAAATTAATATATTCTTATCGAATGAACGTTCTTTTTCAAATGACTGCTGATTAAAATAATTTTACAACGAATATTCGATGACTGAAATATTTTTAATAAACCTTCTATTGTAAAATCGTTCACGTTCCGACTGTTAAATTATACCATAATAATTAGAAATTGATCATCAGATAAGAAATTAATTTCTACATTGAGGATAGGAACAAGCGACTCTGTTCCTAACGAAATACGCAAGAACCGAAGGTACCCGGTAGCAGAGGTGCGCAGGAGTGAAATTCTCCATGCTCGCGGAGGAAGAAGGACGAGCACGAAAGTAGAAGGCGGACATCTGATGGAAGGAGGTCGACCTCGATCTCGCCACGAGACCATCGAGGAACCTTAAACGTTTCAGCTCATGCGGAAAAACCGCACGGCAGCCCTCTTCTTCCCACCCCTATTTCTGCCTTCTTCTTTCTCCCATTTCGCCCGGTTCGCTCGTTGACCATCGTAAATTTGATCAGTGCTCGAATTAATAACCGGGCGAGGGGATAAAGGAGCGCGTTCGCGAGAGGCGAGCAGCTCCAACCGCGAGTAACTTTATACTCGTTGTGCGCGAACGAGCGATCAACCGAGTGGAAACCGAGGAGAAAGAGCTGCTCCGAGTCTCCTCGTGGCCGGCTCTCTGTATCGCGTTGCTCGTGTGAGACGACACGGGGAGATAGAGAAGCCGGAGGAACCGGCAGAGGCAGCTGAAACGACGCAGAGACGCGGCCGGAGAAATCGGGGAGCGAGGAAAAAGTGTGTTGCGAGATGCAGAGAAATTTTGGCAAAAGAAGCACTCGAGGACGCAGAAAAATAAAACAGGCGAAGAGAGAACGACTTGGAACGAAGAAACTGATGAAACTAACCATGTCGCAAAAATTCTAGAGTTACCGTCTACATGCATAGAAGAATTAGAAATAATTCGAGAAAGATTAAAATAGCGAAGTGGAAAAATCGCGATTCGCGGATTGAAACCTGGAAATTTCGGATAAAGAAGAAACCCGTGGAACTATAATAATTCGTACGAATTTCCAAAATTAATCGAATAATCAAGCATCCTTCGACGGTAAAATTCAATATTTAAAAAGTTTCGAATGTTCGAAAAACTTCGGAGGGTACAAGAAGATTTAGAAAATGACAGAAGGATGTTGGTATCGGAATATAATATACGTAATTTATGAGATAAAAATATAATCGAAATTCCAATTAAAAGAAGGTAAAAAGCTCTCTGAACAAAGCAAAACAAAAAATGCGTGAAACAAGAAGAAACGAGGGGAAAAAATATACAAAAAGGAGAAAAAAATGCTAGTTAGAAGAAGCGAAATTACGAGAAACTGAATTAGCGGAGAAAAGCAGTATTGGAGAGAGGAGAAATAAGGAGAGAGAAGCGAGGCGAAGAAGAAGCGGAGAACCGCGCCACCATATAACCAACGATGCTCCATACAAGCGAGCCGCCACCACGAGCTTAAGAAAGTGGTTTGTATATTACGTCGTTGGCCTGCGGTCGCAGGCAAATCGCCGCTAAAACGTTCTGGCCGCAGAGTCGGCCTTCCTACTCGCTCCGCTCGTCTCCTTTTCCATCCTCCGCCGCCTTCTCCTTCACCTTCTCTGGTCAGTTCTGGATATCTTACCTGGTTACGAGCGCGCGCACCGAAAGGCAAGACTTTTAAAATCCACGCCACGGAATATTCCTCCGGTAGTACGAGCCACAAGAATTCGTAGCGCTTAATTGAACTGGTTCTGCGGCAGCGTCTCGCCGGTTTGCATGGAAATTCGCGCAGCTGCTCGCTGAATCCGCGTTACGAATCGATCCCCCGATGCCTTCTTACTTCGATATTTCAACGTTGTATTTCACTCGCCGATATTTACGCCGCGGGCAAGCGGCGCAAGCGTGGTTCAGCCTCGAAACCCGGAGACTTTAATGCCCGCCGAGGCGATCAGTGTCAACGTTTTGTCGCGTTTCTCGCGTTTCTCGCGTTCGATACTTGTAACTCGCGACTCTTTCTCCTCGCTTGCAACGTCCACCACCATACCGGGCTACGCCACCTTGTATTTTTCCGCGCGCCAGTAATTTCCAACTTTCCGGGAATCGTAACCAGGAACGAAGGGCACGCTTCGGGTGCAGACGTTTAACTTTACGATACTCCGCTTTAATCCGTATTCCACGTTTTATTGGATAAACACGGGACGACACGGAGCACGTCCGAATCTTCGAATCCCGGTACCTCGTTAAGGGAACGAGCGATCATGCGAAATATTCGTTTGTTTTCAGTGTCAGCATCGTCGAGGCTAGGAAGTCCAAGGGCGTCCGCCATCAGAGCAAGCCGGAAACGAGCACTGAGCAGTTCCCCGTACTCGGACCGTTTCGACATCGACAGCATGATCCGATTCAGCCCGAACAGCCTGGCCTCCATCGTGAACGGATCCCGGAGCAGCAGCGCGAGCGGCAGTTACGGTCACCTCTCTGCCGGTGAGCAATATTCACGTATCATTATTACCGCGCCTGTCAAACTTATTGAATTATTCCTCCCCGTGATTTACCGCGTAATTAATTAAACGTTGACCGGGAGCGGGCGGGAAAACTCTTTGCTCGAAAACCCTGGCAGCATCGGGGTACGCGGAGAGAGGCGTGAGAGGCGGTGGATGCCAAACGGCAGAAACGTGGAGTAATTTTGAATAATTGGCCGACCGATTACTCATTTCTCGGTTGTAAATTTTGGCGTGTCGTGGACCCGCGCGGAACACCTGTGCCTAATTATCCCCCTCTCGGGGGAGGGGAGCTCCGGAGGCGGGGGTTGCGCCGGGCCCAGGGGTGCAGGACGCTCGGACGATTTACATCGGCGGGATAAATAAGCGGGTAAATCGGCGGGAGGCGGGGAGAGGCGCAATTAAGAGATCACCCGCGCACGATACGGCCCCGAAAACGTAAGTCACCGAGTGTTTACCCGGCGTTATTTTCACCGGGGTCCCGTTGATTGATCGCCCGTAATTACCGACGCGCTCGCGCCGGTTCATCGTCGCCGCCGATCGGTGCCTCGACGCGGCCATAAACGTTTCGCGAGGGTATACGCGACACGTGAATTATACGCTTGTAATTACACGTGTAGCCGGGCAGCGCGGTTGTTAATGCGCGACTACCGCGTGACAGCCGTATTTTCCGAGTTATTGCCGACGCCACGGGACGGAACGATGGAATGGAGCTCGTAAACGAGTCGCACTTTTATACTCCCCGGGCTCATTTCGCCGCCTATTGGCCGCCTACCGCGGAAATTTGGCATTCTATCGCCGTGAATTTCGTCCCGCTCCAGGGGTAATCAAGGATGAACGATTAACGTCGGCGCGAGAGGCTTTTTGCCGAAGAAAGTTCCTCGGGCAGATCACGGAATCCGCTTGCGAGCGAAGCTGCGTGGCAGATATGTTCTCGCATCTTACATCTCATCGTCGAAACGAAGAGGATCGGGGAAAAAGTTCGAAAGTCTCTGAAATCTCTCTTAGATTTCTACGTAAAAATGATCGGGAACGTGACTTTCCATTTTCTCGCAAGATCTCCATTTTGTAAAAATATGTAAGAGTATGCGAGCTCCGATTAGGAACGAGCACGTAGCAGTGATAACCGCTTGATCTGCGCGGCGGATTAACAAAGGAGGCCCTTTAACCCTTCCTGTATTTCGACGAGTCTGACTCGTGATGAAGATTTTGGCCCGAACGTGAATATCACGAGTCAGACTCGTGAACGGAACATTTTTCTAGATATAGTTTCAAACTGCCATCTAATATAAAATATAATACATTTATAATATTTACAAAGGAAAAAAGGATTAGAGTTTACTCCCATAACGGTAATATCTTGTAAAACTGACTATTTCGAGCATCAGTCTGGTCCGTTTACCGCGCACTGACGCCTACCGTTTGGGCCCGAATTTCGTCCAGCTAAATAGTACGGGAGGGGGTTAAAAGGGCAGTTCGAGGAGAGACGAGAGCGGCGCGTGAATATTATATCCAATAGAATAAAGTCAAATCGATCACCGAGTTATAGACTCGTATAACTCTCCTCTCCTCCCCTTAAAATTCTCTCCTCTCGATGGACCGAGACGAGACGTCTTCTATCGTATCTTCGTCTATTAATTTCGCAAACGCGATTCTTTAACGAAGAGACAAAATTACGCTTGCCCAAATACTGGGCCTAATCGAGCTACACTGTGTCGCTCGCGAAGCAGCCTGGAAGGGGCTTAACGATTCGCACGAATCGCCTTAATATCACGGGAGGCATCGTGGCTCGGCGTGTATCATTTGCTGATCGCGTGTAGCGATTTAACATTCGTCGTAAAACGGCGGATCGACGGATTCTCAGGAAAACGGGGTCCCTGGCCGGGCGGAATTACCATAATTACCGGAGCTATACGAAAGGAATAAAGTCATTGGCGGTAGCGTTAACGGGGAAGCCTCGTCCTCGTAAGGATCAGGTCCTGACGTTTAAGGGCGTGCGGAAGGGGGTCGAGGAAGGGGCCTAAGGGAGCAGCGGCGGCCAAGGGAGGAAGATGGAGCCGGGGACGAGGCATCGAATTAAAGTGGCGGTGCGCATGAAGCCATTATAAGGCCGGCTGCACGGGGTACCGCGGCGCGGCCCACAAATCGGCCCGGACCTCCTTGCTCGCGAGTTAAGGGCAGCCGGTAATTTGCGATTAAATGAAGTAATTAACGGATTAAAATTCAAGCGACGCGCGATCATCGGTCGTTTGTCAGCCGGCCGTCGTACGATGCCCCGCAGGATGCTGGCCGCTCGTTAAACTCGCCATCGTACGCTACCGATCAGGGATTCCTCCCTTTTTCCTTGGCCACGTCCTTTCGCGACGGACATTTGCCAGAAGACGAGGGGAAAAAATGAAATACGCGAACCGTGGCCTGAGCCCACGGAATGGCACCGGGGAATTCGAAGAATCATCCTGTACCGAGAATTTTTTCCCGCTGATGGACGTGCACGGAGAACGCTGCTTTATTTCCAGTTTCGTCTCCAGGCTTCCTGGTATGTCCATGGTAGAGTAATCTCTCTGAAAAAATTCCTTTTTCGGGAATTCGAACGGGACAACGAATTCAGACTTCCATTGAACATACGGAGAAGCAATTACTGTTGGATTAGAAGGAGCTGGGTAAAAATTAAAACGTGGGCAAAATAAAACTCGCCGTATCCCAATAGAGGTATTAAAGGCTTTATTTTATAGATACTTGAGGGAGCACGTCTGATAGAGTATGACTCTTCTCGACAACTGACCCAGGATTTTTTGGGATTTTCTTCCACGGTCGGAAAACTCTCCCCCTACACATAGACCCTTTCAGGCCACGTCATGAATTACTTACGTCTGCTTCAACAATTATCATATAACTTGGGAAAAATAGGCAGTTCCCTACTACGACCCTTAACCCTTTTGCTACTGTGGGTGACTATAGTCACCGACCACGGAACGTCATCCACGCACGACGAGTGACTACAGTCACTGAGTATAGTCGCATAAACTATAGTCATCGGTCACAAAAATTGTGCCAAAAATGAAGACTGTGCTTTCATTCCGTTTAGTTCTCTTCGCGAAGAATTGCAATCGCTATTGCAATAATCGGTTTTCCTTTTTCTTTTCTCTTCAAGAGATTTGGCCCCAAGTGCTAAAGATTGCGCGCGCGTAATGTTTCCACCTTTGACACGATGCTTCGTTATGCAGGTGAGACTTCGTAACGATGCTCACCGTAGCGAAAGGGTTGACTTAATTCCTCCCGAGTACAGCTGCACCTCGAGGCCCATTTCGTACCGTTCTTTTCGTCTCGCAAAACACACGAATCCGTGTTAAAGTTTCGTTTAATGGAAACACCTTCATGCACGTGAATTACGGCTTACGAAACTGTGAAATACGGCCAGATTACAAACACCTTTCGAAAGTAAGTTATCGTCTATAAATCATCCAGGATAAAATGTCGATCGTGACTCAAGCGTTAAACGAGATAAAAAGCGCGAACGAGCGACGAATCGCTGCTTATTCGCGCTGGGACGGTCGTCGACAATGCGAATCGATGGTAAATTCGCGAGAATTTTCCAGCGAGTTTCCGTCCGCAGATTCGCGTTCGCGAAATTTTGCGCGCGTCATCGTCGGCGTGGCACAGAGAGCCGTCGGTGATTAAGCGATTATCGTCGAGTATACGAGTAGACGGCCGGTTAGGCGAACGACGTACGATCGATTCCACGAAATTATAGTGTTCTTAAATAAAGCATCGTAGGCGTGCGCCCCGCGCCTTCCTCCGGTTTTATGTCCATTCGAATCGCGACGAGCGATCAATGTACCGCGAGAAGTACACAGAGACGGGGCTTTTACATTCTCGCGTGTAAAACGACGCTTTTTCCCTGACCTCGACAAGGACCTCGAGAGTGAGATGTAGACACCGCGATGGAAAACGATAAGAATTTTCCTCGCCTCGAATTAGCCCCCTTCATCTTCGAAATGCCCTCAGCCGTTGATAAGAAAATGGAAAATATTGAATTCTATGGGAAAAAGTTTTCCACCTTTTCAATGATATTTGGCAGTATTTCACAAGTACAATTTTATGATAAATTTTCATTTACCTGACCCGATAAGGATCTCGAAAGTGAAATTTAGACACCGCGTGGGAAACGATAAGAATTTTCCTAAGCTCGAATTAGCCTCCTTCATCTTCGAAATGTCCTCAGCCGTTGATAAGAAAATGGAAAATATTGAATTCTATGGGAAAAAGTTTTCCACCTTTTCAATGATATTTGACAGTATTTCATGAATACGATTTTAGAATATATTTTTGAGATATCTGTGACAATAGTGTAGTAATTGCATAATATATAGTATAGTGTATAGTGTAATAATGTAATATATACTATATGTAGTAGTAGTATAAAATAGTATAGTACAGTAATGTAGTAGTATTAGTATCTGTTTGAGTATACGTGGATTTTGATAATCGCGACATATTGGCATAGCCAGGCAGTGTGCGACGGATGAGGAGAGATTCCAATGTAAACACGCGAGTCTCCGACTCGTGTTAGTCAAGGAGCAGCTACGCGAGGAGAAATATATAAATATAACTATTAAGAAAGACTGTGTTCGAATTTATTAACGGAACAGTAACCTAAATCCAACAGTACCACATTGCACACTACATAGAAATCTGCACGTAGAAGACACACGCCATGGACCGCACGTTTTGACATGACAGTGCGTTGACATCTAAGGCCCACAACAGATGGCGCGTGAAAACGAGGAAACTCGCGAGCAATGTGGTATGATTTATTAGTTTTGCCTCTGAATTATTCCTAATTCTTATGCTTATCGTATTTCATCTTTATCTCTGGTTACTATCGAACGTCGTATTACGGTATCCAATTGCATGGATAATTACGAAAATGAGAAATAAAAATAGACATCTGCCCGAGCCCGAGGCGACATTTTTTTCCCCGAAATCGAAATTCAGCCTTCGCTTTGATCGACATCGGTATTATAAATTCGGCCGATTACGAATCATAGTAATCGATCGCTGCACCTGTTGTCCCCGCGAGTTCGGCGTATTTTCTCGGTAGGAACCGGTGATTAATTTAGGATGCGACGAGACGCGTTAAATCCCGTTTCACCTCGTGTTCGGGGCTTATCGTAAATTTCGCGAAACGCCGCGTAATTACTAAATGATACGTTGAACTGGAACGGGCCTGGCGAAGTAATCGCACGGTTTCAGGGAAAATGGCTGCCGGTGGACGTTCACCGGAATCGGTCCCGAAAAATTCGGCCGCATCGGCGTTCCCGGTCGCGGTTACACGCGAAATCGTTAAGCGTGCGAGGACACGCGACGTGCACGCTTTCGCGAAGCACCGCCTAGAACGCATGGGCGTGACCGCTCGCCTAAGCGCTTTGGCGCGCGTTCGCGATGGCACCGTGCTTGCATCGGCCACTAGTTGACTGCTAAACGTGATTCCGCGGAAAGACTCGCAGCTGCCGATTCCAGGCATTTGGAACACATTCGAGGTAATGCCCGACGATTTCCGCACACAGTGTCCACTTTCTGGACGTCTACTCATTACCTCGTGGAATAGGAAGCTCCGATGATTGCCATTTCTTCGTGATCGAATAATTGGATGGTAAACATTCGCGATTATTTAGGGGGTAGATAAACAGGTATTTATTGGCAATTTTGGATCACATTTGCTTGTGGTGGAAGAGGTGGGAGAAACGAGATTCTTGGATGGTTATACGAGGGGTGAGTTTTCTCACTGGGTGAGTATTCGCGAAAAATCTGTGGTCTTGAGGAAAATTCGCATATTGCCATTAAATATTCCACGTTGGAAGGTTTCTTCTCTGTAAAGGAATAGCATCTGTGAGCCTTTCTCCTAGAAACTCGATGATTCTGCATCGCAAATTGGCGAATGGAAATATTTTATTCCGATGTCTCGTATGTAGGTATATTCGATAATAATTGGCCATTGGATTTATAATATTGGAACAAATAGCGATCGAGGGTCCTCTCAAGAGCAAGAGATTGACGTGAATCCTTCTTATTAACATAATTTTTAAAACATTTTATAATTCAATCAATTAAGTCACTAGAATTTTTTAAATCGTGAAATGCAGTATCTCCTCGCAAGCACAGAAATATTCGTAAATATCCTGTCTTTAATATCCTCCTGGAAACAATTAATTATCGAACAGATATTTATTGCGAACCCTGTCATAACATTGTTATAAACAAAATTAGAGAAAATCCTCAGGAATCTCATAATTACCACGAAAAGACAATTGAGTGATTAATTTATTGCCAAAGTCGGATACTCTGACGAAATGCAAAAATTGGGCGAGATTCTCAGATGAGAATTGGAAGATGGGCTCCATCTACAACGTGCAAATTTTACGTACGTGTCGCAAAGTCTGGAAACAGTAATTGTCGAGCAAATATTTATTATGAACCCTGTATTACGTTGTCCTAAACGAAATTAGACAAAATTCTCAAAGAACTGACAATTACCATGAAAAGACGATAAAGTGATTAATTTATTGCCGAAGTCAGATACTTTGACGAAATGCAAAAATGGGGCGAGATTCTCGGATGAAAAGCGGAAGGTAGACTCCATCTACAGCGTGCAAATCTTACGTATATATGGCAAAGCCTAATTTATAGGGCAGCAACAGAGACACCTGTCAATCGTGGCTCCGATTAGGAGGAAGCGCAATTCGCAAGCACGTCACGTAACGCACCGACATCGCCATATCGAACTGAGGTTAATTTAGCCGTGGCAATTTATCGAGCGGTCTCACTGGCAACCGTGCGTATCGTTAATATTTCATCGTGTAACGAGCCGCCGATTAAATCGTGTCTCAACCCAATTACGCTCTATAAGCGACCTTAAAATTCGACGACGTCGAAGTCACGCTGCGAGGCAACAGAGGCGCGACGATCGCAATATGGCGGACGAGTAAGCGTGACTAAGAGACCGTCCGCGATTTCGCGATCCCGACCATGCAATGCGCTAATCTCGGTATTAGAAATACCGATTTGACGAATGGTGCAGTCACCGATGCGAAATCTCAACGGCATCACTCTGCTCGTCAGCAGTAAGTTCGAATTCCAGCGTTGAGATTGCACGAATCTCCGATACTGTGCAATTTGCCTGTGTCCTCGTTGGAAAGGATGCGATGTAACCTCTGTTAACCTATTCTCCGCTTCTAGCCTTTGGTTTAGAATCTTTTACAGTATTATTATATGAAGGAATAGTTAATGGAAATCGAGGTATGGCTACTAATGGCGTCTAGCTTGCGTCTCCTGTTGGAGAGGATGCGATGCAACCACTGTTAACCTATTTTCTGCTTCTAGCCTTTGGTTTATAATCCTTTACAGTATTGTAGGAAAGATTGGTTAATGGAAAATAATGGAAGGTATCGCGACAAATGGCGTCTAAAAATCGGTGTTCGACGAGTGTTCGACGATGAGAATCTTGCAACCACTTCGGATTCACGCGATTCGTCCTTCGTCTACGTCTAGTCTGGAGGTGGAAGTTGGTGACAAAGACGGAGGAACGTTTAAAGAACGATAATATTCGCGCGATTGGTACGCGACGTCTACTCGGTGTTTCTAAATGTCTTTCTTAAGTACACGTTCATCGAGACGCGTTTATCGTGTCGTTTTCTTTCCC